GAAACTGATTATAAACAAAGTGCTGCTGCATTTAGCAGAACAAGATCAAACCCAGATCCAAGAATGATTTGATTTTTGTCGATGTCGTGCCACTTTTGTGTTAAAATATCAAAAAAGTCATCAAGTCAACAGATGCAAGTAGATTCAAGTCACAAGTCATTGGCATTAAAGTCCGAGTCAATTCATAAGTGTTTATAGATTTTATCAAGTCAAGTCATTCAAATAATGATTCGAGTCTGACTCAAGTTCAAGTCATGTGACTCGAGTCCACACCTCTGATAGTAAGTAATGCATTACTAAGCAGACGCCCATCCTGGACCTTGGTCCTAACTTTAAGAACATTTAGTACTTAACAATATCAGGAACATTAGTAAAGGGATTCTTTGTTTATTAATGCTTAATAATGCACTATGTAATGTTATTAAAGGGACCTTTATTGGAAAGTGTTTCCTGTGTAAACCAGGCCACTGTCTTGAGCACATCTGAATCACACGGTCAGTTTTCTTTGTCACTGACACAAGAGTGAATGCTGAACGTGAAGACTCAATGCAGTCTGCCGGTTTTCCTTTAACAGAAAACTTTTAACCGACTGTTAAAATGAACTGAACTCAATGCACTGTTTAATTAGTAGGTTCAATGGCAATGTTTACTTTGTAAAGTGCCTTGAAATCGCTTGTGTCAGAGGGAGCTCGGTGGGGACGGAGGGACTTGGAGCTCCTTCCGTCTCCTACACATCTTTGGGGGGCAGATCTGTGGCCCCCCACACTCTCTATTGGACGCTCCTATAGAGAAACCTTACATATACAAGTGTGTGTACACACACAGGTGCTCCCATGGTGCTCTCATAAGTATGGGCTTATGGCACGTTCAACACATGTCTTAAGGCTGTGGTTGGCACTAAATGCACTGTGATTTATCATTGTATGATTGTTCAGTTAAACATTGTTGATTATGTATTTCTTCATCAAGTTGACACAGTGATAGTTTGCTCATGTTGTATTGTTGTTGTGTCCCTTTTTTTGTTAGTTTTTTTTTTGTTTTTTCCCTTTCTTTCTGTTTTAAGTTTTAAGTATCAGGCGTGACATTAAAAGCAGACGCTTTGATGCTCCACCTGAGAGTAAATCTGTAAGGCTTGTCACCAGCATTCAGACATCAATTCTGTTTGCTTCACAGCCAGACAGGACACAGAAAAAATAAATGAATAAATAACTAACTAACTAACTAACTAAATAAATAAATAAATAAATAAATAAATAAATAATAAATAAATAAATGACTTGTGTCATGAATTGGCGCTATATAAATAAATGAAAATTAGTTGAATGAAATTAAAGACTCAGTGGTGAGGCACAACATTTATTCACACCAATGACCACACAAAGCATCAAACTTACTTTTTAGAAATGTTTCATGTTGTTGATCAAATGACAGCAGTACAAACATGACACTGGCAGATTCTCTGAAAATAGTGTTTACAGAACTTTTGTATTTTTAGAAAACCGTAATTCTGCTCCACCTTTTGAGTTCAAGAGGAGGTTCACAGAGAAACCATTTTTTACTTTTTATTTTTGAAAATGATCACTCTGCTTTTACCTAAATCTTTAATTTTCTTATTTTTAACTCAACTCAATTTTTAACTTTGTGATTTTATGTCTGTGACAAGTGCTGTATAAATACAAGTGACTTACTTACTCACTAAAGATCTGTGTGTCTGTCTGTCGTGTTGCATTTCAATTGGAAGTTCCCAACATGGTTTTGTTGTTGGTGATTTCATTATCTAATTTATGAATAAAAGGGAGACTAGGCAGTTTTGGCTTGCTTTTAGCACCCTTAGTGTCTGTTTAGTAAAACAAAATGAAAAACGTATCTCCTCCCTGTGCATTTGTCTTTTTAACACATTAATCTGAAAGCTGAAATGTCTCCCCAAACTTCACTAGCATCTGCAGGAGTGATTCATCACTAAATTAAACAAATCAGCTGTGTCCGTGATCTAAAACATGTAGGAAACGTGCTGGAAGCAGACTGCAGTACCAGGCATATGAGCAATTTTTTTTAAAAGTTTGACAGACTGGATCAGCACTCTGAAGTTGCTAGGGTTGTCACGGTATGAAAATTTAACCTCACGGTTATTGTGACCAAAATTATCACGGTTTTCGGTATTATCGCGGTATTTTTTAAACGGTGTTGCATATGTTCAGAAAGCATTGATAGTCCTGTTCTACACAAACTGAAATAGTTTTGAAAATGTTTAACAGTGTTTATTAAACCTAAAATAACACAAAGCCTTAGCAAAAGTGCAACTTTTCACAAGTAAAGGAACAAATAGCTTATTTTTCTGGAACGTGTTACAGTAGTCAGTGCAGGTTTAAATTATACAAATCCAAACATTCAAAACATAAACAATATGTAAACAAATCAAAGAAACACCACTTGTTTTCTCATATACTTGTTTTCTTCATTATCAAAATGAAAATCTAAAACTCCAGTCCACACTTGACTT